AAAAGCAAACAGGACATGTCCTTATACAGTTTATTTCCACCAAAAAGCCTAAATGTTGGAATCTTTTTACTTCAGGAAGGATCTTGCAAGATGGATGGGTGTGTCAGAGGCAGATGTGCTGGTCAGTATTCTAAAAATAATAATATTTGGTGAGGGCTCCACATCTTGTGACGTTGTCTAGAGGATAATTATAGCAGAAGAGTAGGACCCTGAAGTTGTATCCCAAGGACGCCAGACAAGTCCATAGCCGGGCTAGGCTCAAGATGATGAAAGACCTCCATTTTCTCAGGTAGGAAATGCCAACCTGGACACCTGAAAACATAAGTGGCCACGGTTCTTTGTCTGTCCCTTGGAGGATATAGTGTGTTCTCCATGACCTTCTGAAGGCTGTGCAGCCCGCATGCCTCACTTAAGTGAAGAGACCATGTTCTTCTCCACTTTCAACTCTTTCACTCTGCATGTCTCAGAAAACCTTTTCTCAGACTTGTTTTGTTCTAGTCTGTAAATGTCACATGCCTGGCTTAGTTCTCAATCAATACTGGGACCAGGAGGCTCAAACGTCCCATAGACCTTTTACCTGTCTTTTGTTGATTATGAATGTGAACTCTGCTCATCATTACAATCATCCCTGGCTTTTCCAGACCACATGTCCTCAAGGGAAAAGGCCTATAGACTGTATACTTGGAGGCTAGGGAGGAAGCATAGAGCAGGAAGAAGTGCCCTTTGTCTCATAAAATGTGCATTCTGGATACTCACAAAAGGCTACCACCATGGATCCTTTCACAGACAGCTTTGGGCCTTGAGATAGTTCTCCGGGGTTTTTGATACTTTTCAACACACAGCAGGGACCAGGAACAACCCACTAGCTAGATCTGCATTCTCTCCTGAACAAATGCTTTAAAAATATCAATTGATGCAGAGAAGAGTCAATATTCTACGTCTGTCCCATAGCTGAAGGACTGTGTGTGGTGGTACATGTCATAAGGTGCTTCATGAGGGTTTTTTGACTGTTTCCATGAGAACAAAAACCTGTTGATTCCAACATTCTGAACAATCAGTACACACTTGAGGTAAGTCTTCAATCTTTCTTGGGGTTAGATAGATAAACAGTTCCTGGGCAATCAGAAATGTGGTGCTTTTCTAGGGGAGTAGCTCTGTCCTGGAGCACATACCTAGCACACACTGGCCCAGGGATGGAATCCATATATGTTCTAAAATGTGAGTAAAATTGAGCCAGTATACATGGTTACAGGATGTGTTCTTCAGTGGTGGTACAGTTCAGTGTACTAAAGCAACCCTTTCTTCTGCTTGAAGGATTGGTTTAGGACCAGGAGAGCCAGTTTCAGAAGAAGCAATAGAATGGTGATGCTGATCAATGCACCACCTGGTCCCCAGAACAATGATCCCTGGAGATTTTAGAGCAGCCCTTGACTGCCAACTCTGTCCAAGAACCAGATGTCATGGAACCTGGCCCTGCCCCCAATATCTGGACCACCCGTGCTGGCCATGACATCGTTTTCTTCCCTGCAATTATCTCAGCAATCAAGAGGTGGATTCTCAGTATGTTGGTTCCATTGTTTTCAGGTTACAAAAATGTGGCTATAAGTATTTGAACCATAGTAACCTATTCAAGAAATGACATTTATTGTAGGAGATGACCCTGGCAAGCTGTGGTCACTGTGCCATGACAAGTGAGGAAGATTTCCAGGTGTTATGCAACTTCTTGCTGAACCCACATGATTCTCTGCCCCCTCAT